AAATCGACTTTTTCGCGATTTTTCGGTTTTCAAAGGCTGCGTCCCCCCTTAATGACCAGCGGTTATCCTGTCTACCTGAGGTGACGGTTATCCTGAGGTGACGTAGCTTACGCGTGGCAAAAATATCAAGGCCGGCCAACCTGCCGGGCTTGATGAAACCTGCCGGAAACACCGCTAACTACGCACTAAAAGTAGTGCGCATTAACAGACAAGCACATAAGTGTGTTCGCAGGGGGGGGGGGGAGCTCCCTATTATGTCAGTGTCTTTGCGCCCCCTACTGACCCACCCACCAGTGCACACGCCTACGACCAGTACCAATTTGCATTTCTTTAAGTGCACAATTCACGGAGGAAAGAATAAACTGAGGCGAGAGCATTGCATCACATTTTGTGAAGCCTGAAGTAGGGAAGAATAGAGGACCCCTCCTCGCTATGGTGGGCACGCTACGGCGGCTCGTGCAGGCGCAACAGGCGCCAGCGAGAGGGAGGCGAGCTGCACAAGCTAATTTCAGGCGCATGGTGTGGCACCGCCGCTGCCATCTGATGAACAAGCTAGAAATTCGAAACTCATTATGAGCAAATGTGCTGCGATACTCCCTTGTACAGCATCTGTGTGCCATTTGCAGCCTCATTACGGTCCATACTGTGAATATACACTTACAGCTTCATCAGAAAAAAGCAGCAGCACAATCGCGTGGAAGTCGGTGCAATTAATCGGCCGATTCAATGCTTTTACAATGACACAAGAGTCTACAAATGCAGAAATGCAAGTGTACGAGGTTGCAATCACACGTAATAATCATTCACAATGCCTGCTGTCAATGTTACTTTCGGTTCTAAAACCACCTTGTGAAGTAGCAATGGCACAAATTAAACAAAAAAGACGCTTATGGAGCAGTATGGCACAGTAATTTCCAGCTGGCACAATGGCGTCGATTTCCCACTACTCGAAACAGCACACCCTCCCCTCATGCCACCAACGCCACTCAAACACAGTCCCAAGGTGCCACCTAAAGAATGGTAAAAGATTTCGACCTTTGTCATTATTTTAATATTCATTTCAAAATCTTCAAGTTCTGCCACAGGAAACACCCCAATGATACCTTTTCAATGGTTTTTCGATTCACAGGCTTCCCAAAGAGTCAGAAAATTTTTAGACCTCATGATGTCCACATGCATTCTGCCTGCGCAATGCTCGACGAAGAGAGCGCCAAAGAGAAACGCCACCTGACGAAGTGAATAAAGATCTCTTGCTGCTCGCTCTCTGAGCTGAGCTGAACCAGTCAGCTGCGCAACACCTGTGGTAAATATATTTATCTCATAGTCTATGGTGTAAGCAACTCATCATTCATGTAATAATATTGTGGGAAAGAGACCGACAACGAACTTTTATGGCAGCTGTTTTCTTTAAGGGGGGACGCGGCCTTTGAAAACCGAAAAATCGCGAAAAAGTCGATTTTTGGCAAACCACATATTCGGGCAGTATGTGTCATCAACTACCTTTTCTGTAAATATCAACATCTAATTCGTCGCGAAACCATTTGAAATAAAGTTTAGAACATGCCGCGGCGGCCCTCGAGCGGCGCGCGAGCGCTCAAAATACCCCAACTTGGCGTGATCGCAGTTTCTCGACCGCTCGACGGAGCGCCGCCATTTTGGTGTTGTTTTGTTTGTGAATTCTTGCTCTTTCTTTCCCCGCCACCTGCGTCGCCGGCGGCAGCGCAGGAGAGGAGCAAGCCGCTCATGATTGGAGGGCTCTCGAGAGCTTTCAAGTTTCCCGCGGCTGAGGCGCGCAGCTGGGATTGGGCGAAGCGCGCGCTCCCCAAGGACGCAGGGGAGCCCACGACTGCCATTGGCTGCTGCGCGCGATGACGTAGCGCTCTTGCGCATAATGCGGCCGATGCGGCCGCTCGTCTGCTGCTCCTCCGTCCGGCGTTTGTGTTCCGCTCGCTTCCGTGTATCGTTGCAGCCGTTCGCATACTCTCCACGCTTCAACTGTCTTCGAAACGATTTTGAACCGTCTTTACGAGACGATTTTTAACCGTCTATACGAGACCGTTGTTGTGTTCGCTCACGATGCGCCCAACGAAAAAGAAGACGCTACAATCGTTCGGTGCAAGGAAGCGAGCTAGGAGTCCGCGCGGCGAGGCTCTCCGCTCGCACGTGCGCCGACGGTGATCGCGCCAACGGTACCTGGGGGGTAGCTTCTGCTTCATCTACGCAAGAGAGTGGTCGCATCGACACGCCTAGCAACGGGACTCCTGCTCAGCCGGGGCAAGAATTTGTCGTTACAAGTGCGCCTGGTGTCTCGTGCTCATCGACAGTGGCTTCCGCATCTTCTCTTTCATCGGCCTCGAGTGCGATCGCGTCGTCAACTGTGCATTTGCGAACAAGTTTCCTGACGTGCGAGGAGAAAGAGGCGGCGGATCAACAACGCGCTGCTGCGCAAAGAGAACTTGGCGCTATGCCAGCGACGGAGCGGAAATTTCAGGCAATGGAGCGCGATCATGAAGCTGCCACCGCTACAAGTGAAGGCGAAAAATTTTTCCTTGTGCAAATGGATGCCCTAGACGACCTGCTATCTCGGACACCGTGCCACCGGTGCACCGCGATTGGGATGAAGGTACGAGGAGGCACCCAACTTGGACTTGCTGCAAAGCTTGAGCTAGTATGCTTGCATTGTGGAGTAGTTTCAAGCTCATGGAGTTCATCTCGTCAGGATGACACAAAGGCCTTTGATGTGAATGTAAGAGCCATTATGGCAAAAAAACAAATAGGCAAGGGACAAACAGCTCTCAACGACTTTTGGGCAGCGATGAACGTGTCCCATCGTGGCCTCCATCACAAGACCTTTCAGAAGCACCTGAAGAAATTCAGGGAACCGCAGACACAATGCATAGAAAATTTCTATGCAGAATCTGCTTCTGCTGTAAAAGCCACTTACAAAGAAATGGATCAATATTTCACCAGGGATATAACAGTTTGTTATGATGGAACATGGCACAAGCGTGGACACACATCCCATATTGGAGTCGGGGCAATTATCGAATACCATACGGGCCTTATCTTGGACGCCGTTGTTCTGTCTAATCAGTGCCTTGGTTGCCAAGTAGGGCCAAAGCCTGGAGACGCAGACTATGCATGCTGGCTAGAGAATCATGTGTGCCAGAAAAACACCGACTCTAAATCAGGGAGAATGGAGGTTGAGGCAGCTATCATCCTCTTTTCACGCTCACTGTCGAAGCACAACCTCCGTTACACAACGCTCGTGTCTGATGGAGATAGTGCCACCTTCTCTGCCCTTGTACAAGAAAATGTTTATGGACTGGTCCCCATTTCAAAGAGGAATGCCTGAACCACGTTCAGAAGAGGATGGGGACTGCACTTCGCACCTTGTGCAGAAAAGTGACAAGGCTTTGGGAGGGAAGGGCAGGCTGACAAAGGCCCTCATCGACAAGTTGACAGATTATTATGGCTGGGCCCTACGGAACAATTCCTATGATGTGGCTGCAATGCGGCGGGCAGTGATGGCATCGTACCACCATGTGACGTCGACGGATGAGGACCGCACCACGACTTGTGCCCAGAGGGTGCAGACTCCTGGTGTCGTCACAATGTCAGCAAGATTACCGTGTTTCCACATCCGAAGCATTCGTACAAGCTGCCACGCTATGTTGCAGATGCACTTCTACCCATTTATGAGAGGCTCTCACAGGCTTCTCTTCTGCAACGCTGCCTGGGAGCAAAGACGCAGAATGCATCAGAGTCCTTTCACTCTGTGCTGTGGTCCCTCATGCCCAAAGAGCAGCATGCGTCACTGATTGCTGTGGAGACAGCACTGCATGATGCAGTGCTAAGATACAATGCTGGCTGCTACAGGGCCACCCAAGAGCTAGCTTCATCAGTGGGGCTAACACCTGGCCACCTGGCCATTCAACGGGCAGCCGAGAAAGATTCTCTGCGCTTGAAAAAGGCTAAGAAGCGATCCCTAGAGAAGATGGAAAGGCGGCAAAGAAAGAGAGTGCCAAAGGACACCTCAAATTACGCTGCAGGTTCATTTTAGAACTGCCTATGTGCTCAAAACTTTCAAACGTCGTTTTCTCAAAATGACTTTTTTGGCTAGTGAGGCTGCTTATTCCAGCCATATCTCTGCAACCACTCATTGGATTTCCATAAGTCTTTTTTTATTATGTACATAAATAAATTTCTGAGGGGGTGACAAGCCCATTTTTTCAATATATTGTGTGTGTTATTTACTATATTTAATCAAAATTTGATTGATAATATCCTAATCACGAACACAAAGTTTGATGGTCTGCTAAAACTTTTCAGCAATGAAATTCAAAAAAAGGGCTCTGTTACCCCCTGGAGTATCAATCTGGGAATCATCATAGTTAATTTCACAGTTCCAGCACCTTTTGAAAGTTCTCCAGGCCTGGAATAAGAGAACCATGTGCACTACCCTGATATTCTGCTGTAACTTGAAAACCAGTGAACATAACTTGATGAAATTTTGTAGTTCTTCTAATGATTTTGCTATAAGTCTACCTTGAAAATTTCATTAAGATATCTCAATAAACAAAAAAGTTGGTATCCGATGGTAGCCTCCCCCCTTAACACAATGGAAAGCTTACCAGTGGGAGTGTCTAATCAGGGGATAGTAATGCCGAAAACACCATGAAACCTTTACAATCCCAAATTTGCTATTGTGGTGACTATGAAGGCATATACACACAACCCATGCTGCAAACAGTGGAAGGTGAGCGTCACAGCAGTTTGTTTGAGCTGTGCATGTGTGCATTCTGCGCACATGCTGTGGCTGGTGGCTTGACTAGTGGTTGTGTAGGAAGTGCCGTCTCTCAGCGTTCAACATTTTTTTACTTTGTGAGCAGCACAGAATAGGGTGGGGATGAATGTAAATACTCCAATAAACAAACCAAATACATTAGAGTCTATGTTTTTACACAACATAGCTCACAGAAAAAAGAAGGGCCTCTCACCTTGGTTGCACTTATGAGTGTCTTGTTCTGGTCAGCAGGCTCATCGAAGCTCACAGACACCACCTTGGTGTCCCTCAGTGGTGCCTGGTGCTGTGGCTGGGAGCAAAAAGAAGTATGCAAGCTCAATGCTTAGCACAGCTGAGGTGACACAAAATTTTGAACAAGCTCATTTATCAGTGGCCACTGTAATGAGAGAACGAAAACAGTAACACCAAGCCTCGGAAAGTCTCTAGCTCCACCCATCGCCGAACGAGGACAAAAAAAAAAAAAGCTAAAAAAAGAACCATAGTGACTCCATTCAAATCTGCCCTCGGGGACGCCAAAACATCCTCTAGAGGCACCATATTAAGCTCAAAATGTAAAGCGAAGAGAGCCACCATTTTTGAAAAAAAAAAAAAAAAGTTTTTGCTATAGTATTGAAGTTAACATTTGAATTCCACGTTGTGCATAGTACTTCTGAGCACTACATTTGTTTGGCGATCGCGGTGCCATGCGAGTTCTACCCACGACCTACTGTACTCGTGACCTGCCCGGAAAGCCCCTCTCCAGCGCCCACGTTTAATTTCTACCTTCTGCCACTAAGGTCCATAACCTACGAGCAGCGTGGCGCGTCAGCACCTGTTCGCTGACGTCGCTTTGCGTTTGTGGTGATATTTCAGCCAACAGAGGACCCATAGTGCGTAACTATTATGCACAAAGAGTAATTAAATAAATATACTAAGAGTCATTCAGAAATTGTTTGCAATTGAATAGACGTGACACCACATAGGCTGTCCTACACTATGTAAGTCTACGGGTTCTCACGTTTGTCAACCAGTGTGCAATAACTACTTAACCCCACTTTTAACAGCTTACTTGACCAGCCATCTAAGTGAAGAAATAGTCACATATATGCTGGCAGTTCATCACAGAATGCAGGCATGCTTACTCCAGCACCATCCAAACAGTCGTAGAGTAGCAGACAAACAGGTTATAGGTAGAGCAAACAACGGTGAGCAGTTGAACGAGAGCGGGGACACACACTTCCATATTAACCCGGCCATCTGGGCAGGTCAGCAGTACAGTAGGTCGTGGTTCTACTATAAGTTCTCTTACCGGTGACGAAGCGAAAAACATGCGCTGACACTGTTTGGTGAGGGCAGCTCATGAGCAATAGGTGAACTAGAACAAGAATGCCCAGTTAGTTTTCATCCGATGATTGGCGTGGTCCTCGGCATTCCGCTTCCTTTCTAGCATTTTTTTATTTGCTTCGGTAAATCACTGCAATTGCTGTAGCTACAGTCACTATACCGCTGAATGGTGCTGCAGAAACTCTGATACCGACGAAGGCATTGATTTCTGCAAGTTCCACGGCAATGACATGTAGATTCTTTTTGCCAATGTGCACATACAGCCGAACATGGATATATCGAACCCACATATATTAAAGTTTCAAGTATATCAAACTCGTAAGTTATACCCTTGAAATTCCTTTGTAAAAGTAAATTTGCACGTTTATATAAAACGGTATTTTTACTTGCTTTTGGATATATTGAACGCCACACGAGCTATAAGGTGCGCTTCGGTACTCGCCGCACCCCGCAATCTCCGTGGCAGTGCAGTTCCGCGGGCGAGATGGAAGTGGAAGGTGCACTTTGGCACTCCCAGACTCGACAAACTTTGCACGGCATCACGCCTCCGCCAAAACCCGAAATGCTCGAAAAAAATGTAAGAGCAAGAGGGCTCCGACTCCACAATCTCTAACTTGTGGAACGGCTTTCTTATTTTTTTTTTTTATTTCTCTCTTTATCATGCTTTCTCCCCGTACTCGTCGACTCAGACAGCAGAAACGCAGGAGTCAAAATCCTCCTCCTTCCGCCTTTCCTTTTAGTTTTTGTTGCTGTTTTGCGAGTTTTGATCAGCCAGCCACAGCTCATGCATTTTGCTGTTGCTTTCGCAGGTGGCCATCGCTTCGCAAGCGTTTTGTTGCTTCTGTTGGCCCGTCACCTAAGTACCACCGCATGTGCAGCATTTCTCTTTTGCATGCGTCGTGTGCAAAGCTGCTGTAGATTTCTTGAATTGTGAAGTTCTTGTGTAGCCATGGCCAGCATAAAGAAGCGCATGACCCTGGACTTTGCGACGAAGTTGAAGGCTATTCATCGTGTTGAAGCGAGCAAGAAATGTTTGACCGTCGCGGACGACTTCGGGATACCACGGAGCACTCCGAGTACCTTGTTGAAAAACAAGGCAGATATTAAGGCAAAGGCGGCGGATCACCAAATGTCAGGAGCCTGTCATGTGCGTGCTCCTGCCCACGGGAATGTATAAAAGGCACTCTATGCCTGATTTTTAGAAGTGCCCGCGAAGAACGTTCCGGTGGATGGCCCGATGCTGACCGCCAAGGCCAAATAGTTGGCCGCTGCACTCGGTAAAACAACTTCGCCGACAACACTGCGTGGATTCACGGATTAAAAAAATTAGGCAGCGCTACAACATCGTTAGCAAAGCCATTTCTGGCGAAAGTGAAGCTTTCAGCAGCCAGCACATCCAGCTGTCAATGACGAAGGAGTGGCCGGAAATCTCCGTGAAGTTTTCTGCTGTGGAGATCTTCAATGTCTGGCGAGATGTGAAGACAGGCACAGTGGTAAACTGCTTCCACAAGACAGGCTTCGAGATGGCTTAACTTGCGGAAACTGGTGAAGAAGACGACGACGAGCACATAGAAGACGCGTTTTGAGAGTTGTAGTTCCGCTTCCCCCAGTAGTTCCACACGAAGTGTCTGCGGACGATTTTGAGACAGCGGACTGCAATGTCCAAAACTGTTGCGAGCCTCGCTGATGAGGACATAGTAGCTGCGGTCGCAGGGACCAAGGATGTCCAGGCCGACAGCTCACGTGACGATGGAGGATCGTCCGGACAAGGCACTGGCTACACGCGCATACTGAGCCGCTAAAGTGGCGGCAGTGTTCGGCGTCATTCGCCGTTGTATCGGCCACATGAACGAAACCGAGCTGTTGCACCTTGACAGCCTCGATAAGATCGTGACTAGCGTCTTAAACATTTCAAAAATGAAGAAACACGCCAAGATAAGCAATTTTTATCACGCAAGTAAATCATTTTATTGCGGCGTGTGTGTGAAATTATTTGTTATTCTTGAATGCGCCTATTGTAGATGATGATCGAATAGAGGTGAGCTCTTGGGGCCTGTATTTTTTATATCGAATTTTTCATATATCGAACTAATTTGTGATCCCCTTCGAGTTCGCTATATCCATGTTCGACTGTATTTGTTATATTTTTTCGGTGATTTCACTTTGAGACCTTGTTACCGCAGTCAGTATTGTGTATTTGTCTACTATGTACATTTGCACAGATCCTGCACGTGTTCGAATGCTTGCGCATGTAGGGGTGTTGATATCCTTGTAAAGTTGTTTGCACAGCGTGGTGTACCTGTCTTGCACAAAAGCTGTATTTCATAGTCACAACTATTGAGCGGTAGGTGGCGTCGTGTTCGCGAGTGTTAATCACCACTATCATCATCATGGTTAAAAGACAGTGCCGGCAGTGTGCAACAAATAAGCTGGTCTTTTTGGCGGGTGGCGGTTGACACGAATGGTTGTCTCTCGCATGGGTCCCCGATAAGCGGCACCGCGGGCTGCGTGCCGGGGGCCCTCGTAGTAAGTCAAGCGTCAGCGACGCCGTCTAGAGTGTGTTCTTGTGCTTGTTATGTTGTTGAGTGTTGTTTAATATTGTATAAAGATGTCTTAGCATGTTGATTACGGTTGATGGTATAATGATTGGGCTGATGATATTGCCACATGGTTTGCTTGGGTGAGATCAAAGAGTGAAAGAGGACAAAGACGATCTCTCTGAGCCGCTGCTTGGCTAGTCGACTCAACGAGCCCATTGTATCAAGTTTGTCGTGAGTAACGTGACAAGACTGGTGGAGGTGCTGGGTACAACGTCTCACGATCCACCCGATGCTCAAGACTCCGCCCAGCAGTCGGAACACAAGCCCTGCACCCATAGACACTCCTGTTCATAGAATAAGCCGCCGCCAATGAGGCCTACTGCCTCAGACACCAACCACTGACGCAGCGACTATGACTTCGACACAAGATCCCGTGCAAGCTTCGACACCTTCCACGCTGATCTACTGCACCATCCAAAACCCCCTCATGCCTAGCCCCTTTCACGGAGAGCAGCATGAAGATGTTGACGACTGGCTGAGTGAGTTCGAACGTGTCGCAGCGATCAATTACTAGGATGCTGCCGCGAAGCTCCAGAACATGTACACTTGCCTAAAAGACAGTGCCAAGACGTAGTTTTTGAACAGGGATGATGTCCTGACATCTTGGCGCGAGTTCCAGCGTCGCCTCCTGGAGACCGACAGGAGTCCCGACCGCCGCGAACGGGCGGAGCGTGCACTACAATCACGCATCCAGATGCCCAACGAGACCGTCTTGATGTACGTCGAGGACATGACACGGCTTTTCAAGCGAGCAGATCCTGCTATGGCAGAAGAAAAAAAGTTGCGCCACCACATGCGTGGTGTGAAGGAACAACTTTTTGGTGGTTTGGTGCGTAGTCCCCCCAAAAGTGTTGCTGAGTTCCTTATTGAAGCGGCAACAATGGAGCGAGTACTGCACCAACGGTCTGCCCTGTTTGACCATCAAGTGAATGCTGCCTCAACTCCCGAAATTTTCGCCACCTTTGGGAGCAAGAGCCCCGAATGGATTCGTGACATCATCCGATCTGTCGTTCGGGAAGAAATGGAAAAGATGTACGGGACAAGGCAAATCGATGTTGGTTGTATCACCAGTGTCATCCGTGACGAGGTCCAGCAGGTGCTGCACGCCCATCGTTTTCCGCCCATGTCGGTTGATCCGGAAACGGCTCCTGTGTCTACTGACAGTCACCGTCGTACATAAGCGGAAGCCTTGCGATCTGCCACGCCTCTTTCTGATCAAGGAGTCCCGACCCAGACAGTGCCGCACGTCCCGACCCAGACAGTGCCGCACGTCCCGACCCAGACAGTGCCGCACGTCCCGATCCAGACAGTGCCGCACGTCCCAATCCAGACAATGCCATACGTCCCGCTCCAGACAATGATTCCG